GTTTCTTTATTTGAGGTACTTTATCTGTCACAACATTTACGAAGCAATGGTTTACACCTTCATCGAGAATCAAAAAATAAAAGAAACAAGAGGAGAATACTATTTAGAAAAGATCCATTTTTAAAACAACATGTAGCGTACATGCATTTCAATTATTGAATCTAGATAACAGTCAAGGCGATTACTATCACCTTTCATATTTGAGACTGATATCATGTTGAAACACAACATTCGTATTTACCATAGACTTTGAACTAAATCGTAGATATAAGTCAGGTATTTTCTTTGTTCAGTTAATCAAGGAACAACAGCATCAAACCGAACAAATGAAACAACTGATGATGACGATGATTTTGCCATATTCCAATTTTCATTGAAAGATCTTGTCAATGCAGGCGAACTCCAATATACTGATAAAAAGATGAAAGACATCGCTAATGACCTAATGAAAAAATTCAAAGGTGAATTCAATCGAAGTTTTCAATTGCTTATTTTCGGCGCCATACAACCAATGATGTATTTACTCAAGCGTGAACAAAATCTATCTGATTTCTTGGAGCCACTAAAAAGTTTATTCTCGAAAGAAAGTAATAATCCATGTATAAGTCAGCGTTGGTTAATCGATGTGATGATGATCAATTCAAATCGATTTCTCTGTCGACGTTTAACATTTCTTCTTAGCAAACGTAATCCAGTACCGATGATTCAACCATCTACCAACACAATCAACAAAAAATACCGTTTTGTATCGAGTATCATTCATGTCTGGGATTTTAGTCGACCTATTCTACTCTCATTTGGTGTAGGCAAATGCAAAGGTAAAACACCTCTTGTTAATGCCCTGTTCGAAACGAATTTTGAACATTCAATGAACAGTAAATACTTTCACGAAACGATCGATGTTGATTTTGGATACCATTTCGTTGTACGACGTTCTGTAAATGTTGCCGATGTTCATGGCGATCTTTCAATAGAGACTCTCAAACGTATTTATCAGTTATTCAATGGTTTTCTCGTTCATGTTCGATCAACATATCTGACCTCGAATACATCGGATGTAATTCAATTTTTACGTCTACTTTCACGTACAAGCTATATGATATTACTCATACGTGATCTTGACGATGAGGACGACGAAGAAATTCAATCGGCTATAACAAGTGTACGTTCAGTTTGTTCGAATTGTCAGATTTTCTATTTGCCGAATGTTGTCGACAAGTATTCTGATGTCAATAGAGAAAAAATTGAACAATTACGCGAACAAATTTTTCTTGATGCTGTCAAATTTTTTCATTCAAACGAACAAAATATCCAAAAGCATCTCGAACAACTTATGGATACTGATCAATGTAGAAATGCTGAACAAGACAAAGTTTTTATTGATTCCATTCGACCAATTCTTATTCATGGTAAAGAAGATGATTATCCACTCTATTCATTATTTACTCGCATGTGTCATATAAGACATAAGCTAGCCAAGATGGATCCTTATAATGCCGATTTTCAAGATACAAAGCTATATGCTCTTCATAGTGAACTGTCTCAAATTAGTACAGAACTAGAAAAGCAGCAACGAGCTGGTTTTCAAGCAACTGGTCAAGCATTTCAACGTTTTTTTCAACTCGTTCAAAACACAGAAGATCAATTGAATAACTTGAATTTATTATCTATTGAATTGAAACATGAACGAGATAAGAAGATATCTTGTGTAGATCTTACAACATCGTTCTATCAAAAATTATCACTTGAAATCCATTGGCGAAATGCTATGATCAGTTCTAAAAGTATATCAAATTCTGAACGAAGAATACTTATCGATGCGTATCACAATTATATTGATGAAGGAAATTCTTTCGAAATCATTGATGGTGATAATTTCGAAATGCAGGACGAATTTTTGATAGAAGTAATGCATTTATTTCATAAGAAAAAATTTTTCATTATGAGTATAATCGGGCCACAACAGAGTGGTAAAAGTACATTACTTAACTTCTTATTTGGAACTTTATTTGAAGTACGTGAAGGACGATGTACTCGAGGTAAGTCTACATGATTGTAACGATTACTTGACTATATTTTAAAAAGAAGTTAAATTTACACAAGGGAAAATAAATATTTATTTTAATGAGAAAAATCGAATAGAAACGTCATTAACTAGAAGAAATTTTCCATTGAGAATTTGTTGATTATTATTTAAAACATTTGATGTTGTAGGTGTCTATGGAACATTAGTCAAAATTAGATCGGAAGCAGTTACGCATGATCTTATACCACCTGATTACGATTATATTTTATTAATTGATACAGAAGATTTATTTTCTATTGAGAAGAGTGACGAACAGTATGATAAACGTTTGATTCTCTTTTGTTTGGCTATATCACATCTCGTTATTGTCAATATTAGTGGTGAAATTCATTACACACTGATACAAATGCTAATACTATGTATACAATCGCTCAATTATCTTGGAGAAACTCGTGTTACGCGACCAACAGTTCATTTTGTTCTTAATGAAAAAGCCGATCTGAACAAAGCCATTTGTGAGAAACTATTCAGAATCCTTCGAGACATTTTGATAGCAAATGGTCTCAACAATTTAATTGATCTTGGACCGAATAATTTTCATGTTTTATCGACAGCATTCAATCGAAAGCCATTTTTAGATCCGCATGGGGAATGTGCCGCAATATCAACTGATATTAATTTTGTAACAGATGTTCAAAAGCTATGCAAACTTTTTGTTGACTCATCTTTTCAAATAATTCGTGACACTGGTGATCGTTTTTCTATACCAACAAAATGGATTGAATTTGCTAATAGTGTACTTCAAATCATAAAAAAATATCCAGATTTAACTTATTTCAAAGATATTTTTGAACGCGAACAAAATAATAAAATACGGCAAGATATTCGAAACGATTTTGAACAAATTTTATCACCAACACAAGCTCAACTATTGATTGATAGAGAAAAACACAATAGTATTAGTCATATTCAAGATTCATTTCAAATCGAACAAGAGAAGATTTTAAATGAACTTGAATCAAAACTTGAACAAAAGATAGTAAAATATGCAGTAAGTGAAAATGTTCGTCAACGATCATTTCGTTTTATGCGGGTACAAGTAGCAAGTCGATTTCGTTCATGGGAAGTGTCAGCTATTATGGCAGGCGAACAAGACAAACTGAATAAAATGGTAGATGATAGTGATGCTGAACTTCGACAACTTGCATATGATACAACAGGCAAAACTTATTTTACGGATAAAGCTTCGGCAATGGAAAAATTTGAGATGATGTGGAAAAATCAATTTAGTTGCGTCCAAGTAAAATTCGATTCCGAAACTCAATGGAAACAATCGATTGATTTAGTTTGTCAACTCTATGATGTACTTGATCAATATGCTTTGCCATCATTAGATAATGTTCTTGCCTATTTACCCTTTCTCATGACACTCGATAACCTCGATCAATTATCAAAAATCTCAACCGAATGTATATCGAAAGCTTCTAATATTAATCCTCTCGTCCCACATTCAACAAATACAGTTTATACAATATGCTTTTCTGATCTACAGAAACCGTATACATTTCTCAACAATGATGCACTGCTAGCAATATATTGCGGCGACAAAAATAGTAGAACACGAACAAGAAGTACATGTAGATTAGGTGTACGCGAAGATTTTTCTCAAGAAATGAATAGCAATTGGCGAACGACTGTTCGAGTATCGCACTGTTTCGAGCTTTTAATTGGACGTATAAAGGAAATCTATCAATTAAAAATCAGTGATGATGAATTTTCAACTGAAATTATTCTTCTGCAAGATATATTGGGAACAGTTGATAAATTAATACAAGATGTGAATCAAGAACTAAGTATGTTCAATTTTTCTATGTCAAAAAGTTTGAAAAGCATTCTACATATTTGTGCTGTACTATCAACTGCTCTATTCTACTATCATCGACATAAAACCCATTTTAATAGCGTGCTCATGAAAATAAATCAAAATAAGGTCAAATGGCAACATCGCTTTCTTCGCATGGTTGTAGTTCAAGAGAATGATGATGGAAATGTTGCTACTAATCTTATCAATGAGTTTTCTGATCAATTACGTCAGTCATTTGAACTGAAAGTCAAAGAAATTATTGGAACATGTATTGAAAATGAACTGAGAACACTGAATCAGTATTCTATTATGAAAGAGCTCGATGGTGAAGTCTACGAAGCTCCAAACGATTGGCTTATGCGCTATGTTCTCTATCCATTTCAAATAATCATCGAACGATTTGATCAACGATGGGAAAAAATCGAAACGATAATCCTTCAACTAGTCAACATCAGTATGAATTCACATTTAGAAATACTAGCTGAATTCTTTCGCATCATAGAAGCAATCAAAATTGCTTTGCAATTAATAGGTGGAGATTCATTTACTTTTGTTGATGATCTATTCGAATCGTCGAGTAACGATATCAATCAGAATCTATTCGATAAGAAATTATGTATGGCTACACTTCTTTACCAATATCTCTCAGGCGAACCTATTTCAACGAAGATAACTATTAAAAATGGTTTCACCTATACCGTTCAATCTAAGTGGCAAGAAACTATTAATAACATGCCGAAATCAAGCGATCAGCTGAAAAATATTTTTCGTTCAATGAAGACTACTTTTGAAACGTATACGATCACTTACATTGACTTATTTCTCGATAAGGTCATCAATCAAAAAACAACAAGTGAACAAGCCTTGCAAATTGTGATGAATACTTTTGTTAAAAATAGTTGCCGTAGGACACGAGAACGACTACTCATTCAAGTACGTGGTTGTAAAGAACAGTGTCCTGGCTGTAAGCGTTTATGTGATATTGATCATCAGTTGGACAATGCTACATCTGTGGGACAAGGAGAAAATAGACATCGATGCCAATCAGGTCATCAAATTCAAGCTCTTGGAGGTGTTCGCTACGCAAAAGGAAATGAACTGATTATAGTATCTTGTGAGCAAATGAAAGATGAGGAATTTACAATAACTGATCAAAATTCTTCGCCGATGTGTTGGAAAGACTTTAAAAATATTCATTTAGATTGGGATTTTGATGAATTAAACTTGAAACGACGTCAAATTGACGTCTCTATTTATATATGGGATAGAATCGCTAACCAACTATGCCAATATTATGAAAACGATATGGGATTCGTTATGCCGAACTATGAATTAGTTCAGGATCATTTTATTCTTCTATTCGGTTATTCGGATCGTTCGAATATAGCCAATGATGGGCTTTATGGACGGATGCTTCGAAGAGTTGAAGGATTATTGCTTACTACAAAAACTGATGTTGATCAAGATCGACCGACCCTACGAAATTATTTACCAAAGGTCATTGACGAATTTATTCGTATTCGCATTGAGAAAAAACGATTTGTTACTGATCGAATGACATTGATTGTTGGCGGCCCAAAGCCAATATGTTTGAATCGAGTAGCACGATTGGATGAAATAAATTCTAGTCAAATAAACGATTCGATTTCAAATTGTAAAAAGCCGATCGATTTTTTGGCTGCATTTATGATCATCAACGATGTGCTAGCATCCATCCAGGCTGATTCAAAGTTGTACGGGTTAAAACATACAATCATCCTCATGATGGATGGAAAACCTGATAAATTTCCATTCAATGGGTTAAGAGAATTATTGAACAACTATTATTCGACAATCAATCATTTTTGGACAATCATGCTAGGTAAAGACGATATAGAAACTTCAAAGCAAATCAATGAGATTATGAACGGAACATTGTTGAATATCAACGAACCGAAAGATTTATTTGACGTTTACTTGAAAATCGCTAATCAAGATGCCGATAAATCTGCTGCATGCAATAAAACATCATTGATGCAATCTACATCGACCCTTGATATATGGACAGAAAAGTAAAGTTTTTCTTTCTCTATTCAGAAGCGACTTGACTTTCTAAATGCTCTACTTATTTCAACGAGAAATGAGTCTTCTCCTGAGCAGTTTTTTGATGATTCCCGTGGTTCATGCTTGATACTGAATCATAAACAACATTGTCGACTGGTCCTAAAGTGCGGGTTGATTTGTATTCCTGTGAAAATCGAATGCACATACAGACTAAAAATGAGACTATACGGGAATGTGTCGGTTGTAGTCCTTCCATGAGAATGGGTAAAACAGAAGTATCCAAAATTCACCTTACAACATGTTACTTAAAAAAAACTCTCTTCATCACAGACGAATTGCTCGAATTTGTTTCAGTTGTACTTACAGCAAAGAGTTTTCTTCTGACATTTATCTATTCGTGAATCAGCAGTCCAGCGATGTGTTAGTTAAATTAGCTAACAAAGAAAGGTCACGCACAAAAAAGAGATATAACTATTTTCGAAATCCAACAATCAAATGTATTGCTTTCAAAGCGAACGAACATTGCCTTAGTTGAGTATGAGGCTTTTGTCAAGTTGCTACCATCTATCCAAGCACAGTTCGTTTTATGGACAAATAGGTACCAAAAGACAGTCACACATGTAGTAAAAAAAAAGTTTGCCGCTCAGTTTGAGCCGAAAGTAGCGACTCACCAAAAGAAAAACCGCAGTGTTCGTATCTTTTGTGTCTTCGAGCTTCTGTTCAGTGTTTTCAACCATCTGGCACTGTGTGTACAAAAAGAATCGTGTAGCTGCTGAATTTTAGTCCGTAGGCTCAACTAAATTTCTAATTATTTCAAAACAGCACTATTTCCGACTTCTCCAAATTAAGAGATCGGTGTCATTGTCATAAATTCTCGTTTGTTCTCTATTCGCAAAACCAGTATCAACATTTTCTGTGATTGACAATTCAGTTTTTCGATGGATTCCCTTGAAAATTTAATAGCTGCATGAGCTCTATTGACTGTTTGTCTTTCTTTGGCATTCTCTCTTGTTTTAAAGTAGACTGGTTGATGTGTCGATAACGGACGATAGGAAAGTTTTTTCCACTTTTGACCCATTAAAGTTTTTCTACTTGGTTAAAAGCTATGCGTTACAACCAGAAGTGTGTATTGTTTTTGAATATCGACAGTTTGGTTGAAAGAATGTTTGACATTGATTGGAGTTTTTGACAATATATATAGCCTCATTAGAATAAAAGCTAAAAGTTACTTCAATATCACATTTTGTAGACAACTGTTCATTCTATATAATGATAAACTCCGAGGATTTGTAGCCTGTTTGAAAAGGTACTTACGGAGTAAACAAGAACCTATTGGCTTACTACTACGAATACTTTTTTGAGAAACTTTCAAAGAGTTCTTCATTGCTCGTGAACAAATATAGATATAATATTTCTAAGCCCATATCCAAAAAGAACAAAAAATTCTGGTCGAGATCTATCGTTTTTGATTCGTCTGAAATGCTTTCAATCAGGTCAAAATGAGAAAACAACATATTCACCGGGAACTTCAATCCGAAAGCTCTGTCTAAACGAATGCCCCTTCTGAAAACCTTTGGAAGGCAATAAAGTATTATTTTTTGTTTCAGCACTTGTTAACTTCACACTTTAAATAATCGTCCAAAATGCAAAGATCCAAATCTGTTTTTCATTCCGGGACATAAAAAACCTAGGTTTCTTTCAATTTCTTTCTGGAGATATTCACATGAGGTGAGTTTTCAACAAATGACTGCGAGTTTCTATTTAAGATTTTGAAGGAAACGCTTTTTCACACAATTTCTTCGATTTCTGGGATAAATTTCCACTTAACGAATACTTTTTTCGCTTTAGTTTTTCCTAACAATGGCAATACCTTCCGTCCTTTCTGGCATTCATGTAACAGTTTTGGATTGTTTGTGTATTTTTCATTTATAAATTCATGCAAGAAACAAAATGCCAATATGAGAGGGGAGAACAGGAGAGAAGAAACGAGCAATACGGGAATAGAAGTATTTTAATATGCACAAGATAAATAGAGAGAGAGAAGACCACAAAGAAGAAAACGATGATGCGAAGAGAAGCCGTTCACAACGGTGTGTGATCGGTGAATCGACAACAATCAGGTATCTTAAACTAAAGCTAGTTTCACTCTTTTTAAAGAGTTTCATCACGTACTGGGATTTCTGTATTTCTTCTGGAGCTCATCTTCAACTTTCAAAATGAAAAGTCGAGGGTAGGTGCTTTCATCAGTTGAATAAATGATATAAAAAATAACTTTTATTCTCGACCTAAGCAAAATTTCGTATTGAATTGAGCAATATCATTTGTGCATCAAATACTTTTAATAAAATTTAAATAATTTTCTCTACTTCGACATCATTCTGTTTCGCATCAACTATTGATTTAGTTTTTCTATAAAATGATCATTCAAAAGTTCGAATCATGATAAAGAAAATGCAGGTACTCCGTCCTGCAGTTCTTAAACTTCACTGAAAATAAATGTCCAGGAAAAATTTAAACCGCTGCTGGTTAGAGATTTGTCTCAGTCTCTTTTTTAGGGCACATTAACTGTTGTTCTAGTTATTATACATTTAATTTATTGTAAATTCTAGCATCAGAAAGTCTCTAAATTCAGGTAAGACTGCCTTAGTCTAAAAATCCAAGAGAAAAATATTGTTTCTACAAATAGAAAGCTGCATTGTAGAGGATCAAAGTTTCTTATTGTCCTCGTCCGTCCGCAAAAAATCTGCTCTATCTACTTCACCTTTCGATTTGCACTGCAATCCGATCACCAATACATAAAATCTCGCAATTATCTATGAGTACTACAATTACAGTTTCTTCTTCATTGTTCAACTTTCAATGACTTGCTATTTATTCACAAGCTTTCTCAAGGACTTTATCGCAACACATTGAGCTCCAATTATATGATGCTTGAGTTATCGTAAAGAAACTACTAGTAGCAATGAAAGTGTTCAAAAAACATCATATTGTGCTGCTTTCTCATGAAATAACTATTCTCACAAAAAATATGTTCCGCTGAATTATAAGCCGTATTAATTTTGCTTTGTATAGAACGGATAGCATTTCGAATGTAAGAATGAACCTGATTAGTTTATTAAGAAACTGAGTTATACAAGCGCATAAATTAAGGCTGAGTTGAATCTAACGAGAAAGTTTGCTGTATAGAAAGATTTACAATTTTTTTAACCCCAACAGCTAGATATTATTCGGATTTTCACCCTAACAAACATGAACTTGGTCATGCTCAAATCAATTGACTAACATTTGCTGACTATAGTGACTAATTCTTGAGAAGTTTTTATTTTCAGTCATGCAATTTCTGTATTCATTTTGTTTTTAAAGAAAAACCGCACTTAATGATCCAAAAACTTCCATCGAGCCATTGTCTCAACATAAGAAACCGTACGAAGAGAAATCAAATACACAGACCGTGCCTATTCCGGGCATTCCTGAAAGTCTTATTTATCATCAAATTTATGGTATTTCATTTCCATCGAAACGGGAAGATATTTTACCAAATGTTTTATTGGCAATTGCCGAACAGGTTGCTCCGAATACAACGGAAGATATACTTATTCCTTTACCTATCTTTTCACAACGATCGATCGATTATCTGCCAACAATCAATATCAAATTAACAGTCGAACCATTGGGATTTGATTGTAATCAATTTCTAGCTTGCCTTGCACAGGACATTGGTATAGATCGAAATGATTTAGTTTTAATTGAAGCTCGGCAAGGTACTGTCAGTCTGAATACGAGATTGTCCGTAAGGATAGCTATTGATAAAGTAAAACGGGAAAATATTCAAGAGAGATTATTGTCTATGAATTTACCAGTTAGTAAAAATTTTGTTACTATGACTATTCAAGCGAACAAAAATCAGTCAAACGAAAGTAGTTTAGAAAGAGATCCTATTCGTGTGGCATTGGAAAACTTCGACAACACTGAGATCGATCGAGTTCGACTCACGCCAGAAACTATCGATGCCCGTCTTCGCATGAGTCAATTCATGACTATTCTCGATCAAGCTCAATTCGAATTTCTTAAAAAGAAGAGCCAGCAAATTGCTCAATGTCTAATGCATGCGTTTCGGGAATGTTCATTCGATTATAAACTTGAATATGCATTACTTGTTGCCAATCAAATCCTTGTGAATCAATACAAAGAAAGATATAACCGTAAGCAAGATAATGAAAAGATTCTATTTCATGGTACAAGTATCGAAAATCTTCATGCAATATTTCGAAAGAACTTTCAGTATCATTGTAAAGCGAAACGCACTGACAACGGTTGGTATGGACAAGGTATATACTTTACTAGTTCACCAAGAAAAGCTTTGAATTATGCAAAATCTTGGAAATTCGATACATTTGCCTACATTATCTGTAGTCTGGTTGCTGTTGGTAAATCATTGACGATTACCAACATGGATTATAGAGGCAAACCAATGCATCCCAACTATGATAGCCATTATGTACGCACAAGTCCCAATGATGGCGAACCCATATCCAACGAAGGAGAACCGTTCTATGAAGAATTTGTTATTAAAGATAATCGTAGAATATTACCATTGTTTATAGTTGGCATACGACGTGCCTATCATTGTACAATTTGGCGCGATGCAAATATTGACAATGAAGTAAATTCAAGTATCTTGGAAGATATGCGACGCCGTTTATCTTTCAATATTTATGAATCGAAAACAAGCGAGGATACTTTAAATATTTTAAAATCGAAATTTTCCGATGACGAAATGAATTGTGCTTTGCTCACCAACGGCCGACGTGGCGGACGAGAGCTA